GTTCATACTACTTCACATCCCAGTATATGTTCAGTTTTTGTAAATGTTCTATATGCACTTAAATATGTATATTCTGTCATTGTTGGGTATAGTGTTATAAGTATATCATTTAGATCAAGTTTGTTTATCTTGTTATTCAGATCCCCTATTCTTAATGGTTTGATTTGTGAGTTATTGAGAATGGTATGTAAACATATCTCACTATCATTGTTAAGGTTTCTCTATTTTTCCTTTTTATTTTCTCAATTTTTACTTTATACATTTTGAAGTTATATTATGTGAAAATGTAGATTTGTTATATTTTCCTAGATAATTGAACCTTTTGTCAATATGAACTATCTTAAAGCCTGTTTTCTCTAATATTATGAGATTTGTGTGATGTTAGTATAGGTATACCAGCTTTCTTGTGGTTAGTGCTTGCTTGATAAATCCTTTTCCATTCTTTTCTTTCCTTTTAATTCTGGATCTATATTTTTGATATTTCTCTCCTGAGTGCCATATAGTTGGATTTTATTTTTTTAATCCAGCCTCACAAGTTTTTTATTTGTTTGTTTGTTTGTTTTTGCAGTACATGGGCCTCTCACTGTTGTGGCCTCTCCCGTTGCGGAGCACAGGCTCCGGACGCGCAGGCTCAGCGGCCATGGCTCACGGGCCTAGCTGCTCCACGGCATGTGGGATCTTCCCGGACTGGGGCATGAATCCGTGTCCCCTGCATCGGCAGGTGGACTCTCAACCATTGCACCACCAGGGAAGCCCAACCTTAGTTTTTTAATAGGAGAATTTAGACCAATTACTAATATGTATAGGATTGGACGTCTGCTATTTCATTATTTAATTTTAATTTTACTCACCTGCTTTAAGTCCATTTTTTTTCTTGTCTTCTTTTGAATCAACTATTTTTACTGTTCCATATTCCAATGAGCTTGTACCTTCTTTAACTAGTCTTAAAGACTGTATGAGCTTGTATCTTCTTTAACCAGTCTTTTATTGGTAAGTCTAATAAGTAAAACCAGCTTATTACTATCCAAAATAAATAATTCCCAGGCAATGCTAATAGCTTAAAACAGTACTATTTTCTTTCTTTCATGTCTTGTGGTATTTTTGCTATGTATTTTAATTATGTATATATTTTCAACCTCTCAAGACATTATAATTATTGTTTTGTGCAATAATATTTTTATTTACTCTTTCCATTGCCTTTTCTTACTTTTACACCTGGGATTATCTTTCTTCTGCCTGGAACACTCCTTTTATTGTTTTTTTTTTAATATGGGCCTGCTGGTGACACAATCCCTGTTTTTATTTGTACAGAAATATCCATTTCATATTTACCTTTTTGGGACATTTTGTTTCTATTGAGTTCTAGTTTAGCAATTTTCAGCACTTCAGATGCTATTTCATTGTCGTCTTTTTTTTTTTTTAGACAATTACAGAGCTATTTTTTTAAATTTATTTAATTTATTTTTGTCTGCATTGGGTCTTCATTGCTGCACGCAGGCTTTCTCTAGTTGTGGTGAGCAGGGGCTACTCTTTGTTACGGTGCGTGGGCTTCTCGTTGCTGTGACTTCTCATTTTGCGGAGCACAGGTTCGAGGTGTGTGGGCTTCAGTAGGTGTGTCATGAGGGCTCAGTAGTTGTGGTTCATGGGCTGTATAGCGCAGGCTCAGTAGTCATGGTACACAGGCTTAGTTGCTCCACAGCATGTGGGATCTTCCCAGACCAGGTCTTGAACCCATGTCCCCTGCATTGGCAGGCAGATTCTTAACCACTGTGCTATCAGGGAAGTTCCTGTTTCATTGTCTTCTGTTTTGCCTTGTTGTTGGTTGAAAAGAGAGCTATCAGTTTTATTTTTTTCTCTTTTAAAGGTAATATATTTTTCCTCTCAAGGAAATTTCAAATTAGTCTTATGTTTTCAGTAGTTTGACTATGGTGTACCTAGGTGGATTTTCTCTGAATTTATCCTGCTTGCAGTCTGTTGTGCCTCTTAAATTCATTTTTCAACCTTTTTTTTAAAAAATAATGTTTTTTGCCCCATTCTTTTCCTCCTCCCATTCCAGAACTCCAGTCACACATGTGTTAATAAATGTTTTCACCATGTCTTATATGTCTTTTTAAATTTTTTCCTCCAGGTTTTACCATGGATATTTTCTGCCTATGTATTTTTTTTAGTTCACTATTCCTCTCTTCTGCTATGTCTGATATACTGTTTCTTAAAATATTTATTCATTTTATTTATTTATTAAAATTTTTTTTTTTCTCTGTGTCGGGTCTTTGTTGTGGCATGCAGGATCTTCTTGTTGCAGTGCAGAGGCTCTTCGCTGTGGCACGTGGGCTTCTCTCTAGTTGTGGTGTGCGTGTTTTTTCTCTCTCTAGTTGTGACACTTGGGCTCCAGAGCACGTGGGCTCTGTAGTTTGTGACACACGGGCTCTCTAGTTGAGGCACACAGGCTCAGTAGTTGTGGCGCACAGGCTTAGTTGCTCCGTGGCATGTGGGATCTTAGTTCCCTGACCAGGGATCGAACCCCTGTCTCCTGCATTGGAAGGCAGATTCTTTACCACTGGACGATCAGGGAAGTCCCAATGTCCAATATACTGTTAAAGCTATCTATTGAGTTCTTAATTTCAGTTATATTTTTCAGTTCTAGAATTTTCATTTGATTCTTTGTTTCCAATTCTCTGTTAAAGTTCTCATTCTTATCCGTTTTATTGAACATGTTAGTCACACTTATTTCAAACCCCATGTCTGATAATTTTGGTATCTGAGTTCTGAGGGTCTTTCTCTATTGTCTGTTTTTTCTCTTGATTCAATAATTTCTTAGTACTCCTGGTACTTTTTGACTGAATCCTTGACATCATGTGTGAAGGAGTGAATACGCTCTGGATGATGTTATGTTCCTCCAGAGAAGACTTTCCTTCCCTCTGGTAGACAGCTGGAGTACAAGCAAACCACCCTAATCCATCCACCCAGGGACTCATTAGCTGAAGATTGGGTTGAATGTTTACGAAGCTTTACCTATCTCTTGTTTGCCCTTGCTGTTAGGTTGTAGACCTCCAGGAGTCCCAACCGAGAGCTTTACATGTTTACTCTGACCACTGTTCACCCCACAGCCCCCCAGAAGGTCCTAAACTCCAGTTTTTGGCTCAACAGTACTATAAGACTATAGAGAATTCTGAATTTCTGCTTAGCTTAGTCTCTTGTCCTGAGAAGTTTAAGAATTCAGCAAATTCTCTGATGAAAAAAAACACTGTTAGAATCACCTCTGTATTTCCCTTCTATCCCAAATATTAGACTATCAAGTTGGCTTCAAGTGATATCTGATGCCTTTAGACAGATTTTTTTTTTTTCAATTCAGATTTTTTGGGTGTTTTTTGCAAGAATCTGGTCTTCCACAGGCTACTTTGTCAGGTCCAGAAGCAAAAGTCAGTTCTTAAGATTTTGAGATTTGGCAAAACTGGTGTTTAACTTTAAACATTCTTTGTTTTGAGCAAGGATATATTATTCTAAGCTCACAAGGATTTTAGCCTTAAAGTGCACCTGTTTAACTTTCTTTTCCAGGTAAGTACAAGGAGTTTTATTATTATTATTATTATAGCTCTTTATAGATTTTCTGGAGTGAGTAGGAGAAAAAAGCATTGAGGGAGGCTTGTTCTTGATAGGCTTTCCCAGGAATCTTTGCATCATCTGTGTTAGTATCAAGTCCTTATCATTGCATTTCTTAGTACAAAGTCTTAAATAGACTTAACACAAAAGACAGATATTCACAAATACGTACAGAAAACTAGTATGCATTCAGAACTCTACTTGTTAATATCAGGATACCCATGAGACCAAGTGAGACTGTTGTTGAGGAAGTGTGGAATTTGTTTTGGGGGAGAGGAATCATTTTGTCAGACAATTCATGGGACCTTGGCCCAGATCCCAGTAGCAGAGTCCCATTTCTAATGACTATTATACTCCTTTCCCCAAATTCAGGGCCTTGCCTCCAAGACATACTGGATATATCCTGGCAGATTTGCTGCTTTCTTCCTAACTTTTTATGCTCACATATACATCCTCATGGTACATTTTCCTTATATCAATGTCACATTATTCATATAGGTTTGAAGATGTTGCTTCCTCACTGGTAGCAGGAGGTTCTAACTTTATTAGTAGGTATCAGTGTTTCACAGGCTCTATAGTAGCCTAACTTTTTATTTTCCATCTGAATGCTAAAATGTGTCTATAAAACATAAATGCTGGTTTTAGTAGTTACTCCGAAGCTGAACTTTTTTTCTACCAAGTGTTGACCTCTAGTTTCAAAGGTTTCTTAAGGTCACATCTAGGTTATTTTAAAGACCATATCACTAAAACAGATAAGGTACATTTTTTTCTTATCTGTTAGCATAGTGTGGTCTTACAGGTGTTTTTGAGGCTTCAAAATTCAGGTAACCTCTCTGTAATCACAAAGAAAATAAATATTGTACTCAGGATCCCAGCTTAGGCCTGTGACTTCTGAATGCCAGCTCCAAGCTCTCCTGCTTCATACATTGTATAGTTGTCAACCCCTTCCTGCCATGTCCTCTGTTCACCTCTTCTCCCTTTTCCTGTTTTATCTTCACTTCAAGAAATCTTCAAAATTACAACCTCTCTGTTAGCATTATAAACAAGGTCACGTTCTTATCCCAACTAGATGTTTTACTAGGATAAAACAGACATTTGAATTTTTGATGTCTTTCAGATTGGATGACTACACCTGTGAGTAAGAAATCAACTCTCAAGGCAGATATTCCTGAAGGAGAATTGGGTCAGTGGATGATAAAGGAAAGATTCACTAAAGATACTCACTGGAAATATGATACACTGTTGGAATGGCAGCATGGAAGCCAGGAGATAAAGTTGCAGCAAGTGATGCTTGCTCATGAGAAAACTTCATCTGTGGTTGGTGACCAGAAATGTGATGAATCTGGGAAGCACTGCACTATGAGCTCATCCTTTGTTCAGAGTCAGGGATTTCAATCTAGCAAAAAAGCCTTTGAGTGTAGTGAGTGTGGAAAAGTCTTCACTAAGAGTTCAACCCTCAATAAACATCAGAAGATTCATACTGAAAAACTTAATGCAAATCGGAAAATTCTTATTAAAGAGAAGCGATATGAATGTAGAGAATGTGGGAAAGCCTTTCACCAGAGCACACACCTCATCCATCACCAAAGAATTCACACTGGTGAGAAGCCATACGAATGTAAGGAATGTGGCAAGGCCTTCTCAGTGAGCTCCTCACTTACTTATCATCAGAAAATTCATACTGGAGAGAAGCCTTTTGAATGCAACTTATGTGGAAAAGCTTTTATCCGAAACATACACCTTGCCCACCATCATAGAATACATACTGGAGAGAAACCTTTTAAATGTAACATATGTGACAAAGCCTTTGTGTGCAGGGCACATCTTACCAAACACCAGAATATTCATAGTGGAGAGAAACCCTATAAATGTAATGAATGTGGGAAGGCCTTCAATCAGAGTACAAGTTTTCTTCAGCATCAGAGAATTCACACTGGGGAGAAGCCTTTTGAATGTAATGAATGTGGGAAGGCTTTCAGGGTGAACTCTTCCCTTACTGAACATCAAAGAATTCATACTGGAGAGAAACCTTATAAGTGTAACGAATGTGGGAAAGCTTTCAGGGATAATTCATCCTTTGCTCGACATCGGAAAATTCATACTGGAGAGAAACCTTACAGATGTGGTTTGTGTGAGAAAGCCTTCAGGGACCAATCAGCCCTAGCCCAGCATCAGAGAATTCATACTGGGGAGAAACCTTATGCATGTAATATATGTGAGAAAGCATTCAGTGACCATTCAGCCCTCACTCAACATAAGAGAATTCATACTAGAGAAAAACCTTATAAATGTAAAATCTGTGAGAAAGCCTTTATCCGAAGTACACATCTGACTCAACATCAGAGGATTCACACGGGAGAGAAACCCTATAAATGTAATAAATGTGGGAAAGCTTTCAACCAGACTGCAAACCTCATTCAGCATCAGAGACATCATATTGGAGAAAAGTGATATGGAAGAGCTTTGAGACTAAGGGTATTAATTATTGAATGCAAGAGAATTTCCATTCTACAGAATAACCATGAAAGCTTACATGAAGATAGTCATTTTATTTACTGAGAGTCAAGGTTCACAGTAGTGTGGGTTTTGAGAACTTAAGAATGTCAAACACTCCTCATAATTCAGAACTGCCTCAGTTGAATAGTCTGAATTAGTCTGAATTACCAAGTATCAGAACCAACATGGACCTTCACTAACAACATAGAAATTAGTTGACCATTAAGATAAATTATAAAATTGTAAAAATTGAGAAGCACAGGAACAAAAAAGTAAGAAAATGGTCTGTAAGCATTTTACTGTACTTGATTCTCTTATATAGGAGGGTTTCTACCTTTAATGGAATGCTTTGTTTTCCTCACCCCCACTATTTACACCCAGTGTAAAGAAAGTGCAGTCACCTGTGCACTGGCCCAGGAGTTACTTAAATTATGCTTCCCACCTTCTGCTTCAAACCAACTTTTGTCATATTTCCCTGGTTCATGTGTCCACTGGCTTCTTACCTGTATTCTTCTCCTGGGACAATTCATTTGAACTGTGTGTCCCTTTTTGATTTAGCAACTCCTAACTGATAACATCACGTCAGTTACTACCACCCAGTTTGCCCTTGAAGACTGTGGTTATCTGACCTCACACACAGTCCATGATTCTGGATGTTGTTCCAAACCCAGCTTTCAGAACTCAGGACCCCTATCTGGAAGGCAGAGGTTGATAAAAATTCCTGAGTAACCCAGGTCCTCTGGGCTTCAGTTTGACTCTGACCCTCGGATAATCCCTAAAGTAGGGGCTTAATCTGTGCAGACATTCCCCCCGCCAGTTGTTCTGCACTGTAGTTACACTACACATGGCAGTCAGGGGCATGCTCAGCTTCGGGTGTGACGATCCCAGCCACCTAGAGATGTTCTGGGCACTGCTACTTCTGTGACTTGCCATTTCCTGATGTGCATCTGACAAGGGAGGTTAGAGCCTCAAGGGAGTTGTCAAAAGGCTCTCACCCACTTTTTCCCTTGTCTGGGCAATCCTCTGTGTCCACTGCATTAGTGTATATTTGTTACTCCCAGAATATTGAACTGCTGCATCCTGGTTCTTGCCCTGCTTTTGTCTACTTTTCTGAAGGTATCAACTCTGTTCACAGAAAACACAGAGAGCTTTGAATTTCTGATTTTGCATTTGGAAGTGGCCATTTCGTGTCCTCCACCTGGGTTCTGACAGTGGTGAGCAGCGTGTTGAGTAATTCCATGGAGTAGTCAACAGCACCATGACATTCTCTGGCAGGGGCAGTGTCCATGCCCAGAAGTCTGAGTAATACTCTAGTCCTGCAGGTACAGTTCCTTCACTATCTTTAATTCTTCAGTGCTGTCTGTAGAAGTCACAGATAAAATAACATCTGTGTCCCTTCACACACAGCCTCTGGGGGCACCTCCCCTTCCCCACCACAAAGAATGTGGAGCCTGCACTACTGCAGACTGGAGCATACTACAGCATGAAGGTGGAAGAGCAAATCAACTGTTGTCTGGGAAGCAGTGTGACAGGTTCCTGGTCTGTGGAAGTGCTCTCTATCAATTTGGGCAACTGCCAGCCCCTACGAATGCTGCACCTCAGCTCCAAGTTACAGGAGAGGATAGTCTGTCATGGTGGAATCAGGACTTCAGGTTGAACATGGAGTTGGAAGCTTCCAGCAGCTTTAAATACCCAAGTTCTCTAAATTCAGCTCCCACCTAATAAAGGCCACTGGTGTGGGTAGGCATCTCCTGTTAGATCAGCAACTCATCCTTTCTTCCTTATTGTGCTTCAGGTGAAGCAGCATTTCAAGAGGTTGCTTGGAACTCTCCATGCCCTGGGCCCACACATGTTCATCTGCAGGCTTACATGGCTGGCAACCCCAGATTCCACAATAAACTTGGGAAGCTGCTCACTGCTACAGAGATCTGCCTTCAGTACTATCCCTATGGCCCGCCTTGTCCTCACTATTACCTCCTTGCCTTGAATCCCTCACAAGGAACATATTTCTCAGCTAACTTTGTTGTTCCTTTTTTTTTTTTTTTCTTCCCTGTATGCAGGCCTCTCACTGTTGTGGCTTCTCCCGTTGTGGAGCACACGCTCCAGACGCACAGGCTCAGCGACCATGGCTCACAGGCCCAGCCGCTCCGCAGCATGTGGGATCTTCCCGGACCGGGGCACGAACCCGTGTCCCCTGCATCAGCAGGCGGACTCTCAACCACTGCACCACCAGGGAAGCCCATTCCTTTTGTTTTTAATGGGAGCTGCTGCCCCTTGGAATGTACTTGCATTTGGTCTAAGGCCAAGACCTTCTGCCACTCATCCCAGTGGCAGCTCCAGCAGCTGTGCTTCCACCAGCATTAGTGCAGTCTGAAGGCCCTCCATATGATTACAGTCCACTTTCCCTGAGCCCACCACTGTCAGGCTTGGGTCTTCATGAAATTAGACCTCTGAGATGCCTCTGAGATGCCCCCTGGCTGGGGAGGCAAAAAGTAAATGGCCTATTAGAAATGCCTGAGTCAACTTGGATATATTTATGATAGTACTGTTCATCTGACCAGACCATTAGCATTGGCTTTATTACATTATGCCATATGATTAACACCATATGGTATGACCACCTCAACTAAGTGAGCCAAAATTTGCCTGGGTGCTATTTCATACTTTTTAAATCTGAAGTAGGTTCTCCACACCGACAGTCTAACCTTTGGCTTAACCCCCCAAAAGTGCGTTTTTGAGAACTCTGAGTTAAAGTCCCTCAGCCACCTTTTCTTCTTCCAGCTGATATGCATGGTATTAGACAAGAGTTGAGCAATTATTTATTTTTTAAAATTTCTTTAACATACTTTATCTCATAGTAATTTTTCATCAATACCTTGTTATAGAAAAAGTCTAAAGTAATGTAGATAATATTAAGCTTATATTGGTGAATTAGTTTATAAAAAATATATTCATATGAATTGTCTTATCTGTGCCTAACAAGAGTTGAGCAATTATTGACAGGGACTTTTCTCTACCCCAACCTCCTAGGAGGAGCAGTTCATTCTGCACCTCACTTTTCTAGTTTTACTGATAGACACCATGACAGAAGATGAGGACCACTGTTTGGGACACTCCAGGGTTAGATGTGCCGTCCTTAGCACATCCAGCCCAACCCCCACTACTCCCTACTGGCACAAACACTTCCCAGCACACCCACGACTATGCCATCTCAAGATAACGGGTCTGGGGCTTCCCTGGTGGTGCAGTGGTTAAGAATCTGCCTGCCAATGCAGGGGACATGCATTCGAGCCCTGATCCAGGAAGATCCCACATGCCGCAGAGAAACTAAGCCCGTGTGCCACAACTACTGAGCCTGAGCTCTAGAGCCTGTGAACCACAACTGCTGAGCCCGTGTGCCACAACTACTGAGTCTGCACGCCTAGAACCCATGCTCTGCAACAAGAGAAGCCACCGCAATGAGCCTGTGCACTGCAAGGAAGAGTTTAGCCCCTGCTCGCTGCAACTAGAGAAAGCCTGCGCAGCAACGAAGACCCAACGCAGCCAAAAAGAAATAAAAAATAAATTTTTTAAAAAAGTGGGGCGTGTGGGTAGAGAGAGTTGGGAACCACGTGAGCAAGGTGAGATTGGATGAGAAGAGGCGAGACCACACAGCCGGACCAGCCTGTGCGATGAGCTTTGGCAGTTTAACACAAAGGAAGCTACTGCCAGGTTTTAGCTTTTGCATTTCAAACTTCTAAGCTACAGAGAGTTCCCACTGATATATAAATTTTACTAGAGCATAAAAGATTGTAAATTTTTCTGATTTTTTTCTTTCCCAATTAATTTCCCTTGTAATGAATAAGAAATTCCAAAGTTGGAAAAACTATTTAACCACCTAAAGTTCAATTGCTAATTTATTTCAGCAATGTACCTTAACCAACGTACAGGGTTGCTCTCTGACACAACCCTGATTATTACCTGATGTTATTTTATAATTTCTAGCTCTTAGATACAAAAAATAAAGAATTATAAATATATTTTCAGGCAGGCATATGCCAGATTCCCCCTGGTAAGTTGCCCCAGGCTCCTGACCAATCTTTCTGGTGTGCGCCAGTCCATCTTCCACTCCAGCAACCAGTGATGTGTCCACCCTGCAGATGGTGAGGTCTCACCTGTTTAAAAGCAAGGCCTTCAAGACCCTTCACAACCAGATCCATGTAAACTCTCCAGCCTCATCTCCCTACCTTACCCTGCAAAAATGGAACTGCCAGTAGCTCCTGGCATGCCAGATTGGGTTATCATCATCTCTTTGTCTAGTTCCCCAAGAAGGCTGTGAGCTAATGTTAAGAACTTGGCCCAGAACCCAACTCAAATTGAGCACATAATGGTGTCAACAGATATGTGTTAAATTAGTAAACAGGTGATCCTCACTATTTCCAACAAATAATTTGCTGAGGCCTGTATGGTTTATGACATATCTCTTTAAAGTAAAATGACTTCAGTTGGCTTATGGGTTATAAAATGCACTTCTATTCCCAGGGCTACATTATAAGGGAAAATTCTGTACTCAGCCAGCTACCCTGTGTATAAATGTTGGGGAGGAGAAAGGAAGTGGGAGGAGTGGCTGCGTTATCCTCTGAGTGTTATTCAGTAGATATATCACTGTTTTTAAAGTGATTTAATGTGGTTTCTTTTTTTCCTTTTTGATAGCACGTGGTACAAATTCAAAACTTGTACAGTGAAAAGCAACTGCCTCTCTCCCATTCCTCCACCTTCCCAGTTTCTCTCCCCAGAGGCAACAGCAGTTACCAGATTCTATGTGTCCTTCCAGAGATAGTCTATACATATACAACCCCCAACTTTTTTTGTTTGTTTGTTTTGCGGTACGCGGGCCTCTCACTGTTGTGGCCTCTCCCGTTGCAGAGCACAGACTCCAGAGGCCCAGACTCAGCGGCCATGGCTCACGGGCCCAGCCACTCCGTGGCATGTGGGATCTTCCCGGACTGGGGCAGGAACCCGTGTCCCCTGCATCAGCAGGCGGACTCTCAACCACTGCACCACCAGGGAAGCACCCCCCAACTTTTTTATAATGCAGATACTAGATATGTTGTCCTGCGTTTTGCTTTTATTTAACAACATATCTCAAAGATGTTTTCGTTGTAGTACATATAGAACTTCCTCATTCTTTCCGGTGGCTGCAAAATATTCCATTGCTTGTGATAAAGGAAATATTCACATATTGAAGTATGGGGAAGTCATTCTGGCTTATACATGTGTTAACTTGAATTTGATGCTAACTAAAACAGCCTGTTTGTGGCCTATCAAACATACATTGTACATCTTCTTTAATTATTAAAGAAAAGGACACATTGACCAAAAGTAATGTCCATATTAAAAATAAAGATTAAATGCCTCCCTTCCTGGGACACCAATGCTGGTACTCCTTCTATGATAAGGCCGCTTTCCAGGTGCCAAGACCATACTGACTTACTGTGTATGTGCTGATCTGTTTTTTGAAAACTTGAAGGAATGTATCCCTGACTTGTTTAATGTTCTTTGTTCTAACAAGATATAAAACTGTGCTGAAAGCCATGCTTCTCTGGAGCAGTTCCTCAGAGTTATCTGAGAGGCTGTCTTCTGGGCTATGGTCCTCAGTTTGGCTCAAATAAAACTTTTCTATTCCTATTATAGATTATTTATTGGTTGGCCTCATCGACACATGGATGCACCATAATACACTTAAATCAGTGCTCCCAACTGAGGTGCAGTGAGGTTGTTTTCAATCTTTCATTATTTCAAGCAATGCTGCAATTAATGTTCTTAGATATGTGCCATTTCGTGCAAGTATTTCTGGTGGAAAAACTCCCTGAAGTGAGCTGCTAGGTTCAAAGGGTGTGCGCATTTTTAAATTTAGCAAAACAGTGCCATCTAGCCCCCATTAGAGGCTGTACTGTGTGTATTCCACGGGCCATGGGAGGTGGGGGCCATGCCCCACAACTTGCCAGCACAGAACATTAGCTAACTCTTTGATCTTTGCCAATCTGATAAAAAGGGTGTCTTAAGGTGGGTTTTTGTTCCAGCTTGATTGAGATATAATCAATATACAGCATTCTGTAAGTTTAAGGTGTACAATGTGATGATTTTTTTGTTGGTGGTATATAATTTCTTTACAATGTTGTGTTAGTTTCTGCTGTACAGTGAAGTGAATCAGCTATG